TAATATCACGGACAAATTCTAAAATGGTAGATGTCGACATATTACATGTATAAGAGTTGTGCCCATTGAAAATATCAAATTTATGTAATGACCTTCAGGTTAGCACTGTCATGGGTACAATTCTTGTCAGAAATTTAAAAAAACTTATACTATAGGTTAATATCAGCAATATCACAATTAACTTCCATAATGGTGGACGATCGACTTTTTTTTAAAGAGTTATGTCACTTCGAAATATTAAATTTATGGAAAATGGCCTAGTTAGCACTCTCACAGGTACATGTATAATTCTTGCCAGATTTTTATATAAAACTTATATTATAGGTTAATATCAGCAATATCTCGGACAAGTTCTAAATTGGTCGACAATTGACTTTTTTAAGAGTTATGCCCCTTGGAAATATTAAATAAGTGTAGCATGGGGGACATTGCAATTGGAACTGTTCTTGTATTTAATTTGGCTTCTGGACCAAAATGTTTGGATCAAATGTAAATAAAATGCCTTTATCTTCCTATCACTACTTACATAGAATGGATACTACTTAAAACAGTCCTGGTGCAGTTGAGAGTTGTCTATCAAATCTTGAAATTCACCAAGAATGAATTGCATAACAATGAACTGAGCTCAAAGCAAAACACTTTAATAATACACTTAGACAAAGAGCTCAATCCAGTGATATACTTTGTACAGGTCCTTCCGGAACATCCATTGTCAATAACAACATCTCACAAACATGACATACTTCATGGATCAGAAAGCCTGAAAAAGACATGATTCATTTTTATAATTTTAGTATATAAACCTGTTAAAGCTTACAAAGTTTTGGTAAAATCATTCCAACCTAGCATATATAACAATCACTTCATGCACAAATTGATATACATGTAGGCTTTGTGCCCTCTGTTTGAAATAAGAACAAACTTTCACCTAATCATAGTAAACTGATGAACATTGAACAAACATTCAAAACTATAAATTGTTATCAGACCACCCCCACCCCAATTTTTTTTTTTAATAACCCTATCAAGTGTCTATTTACCCTCACAACTGATTCAATAATATATGTATACATATATAAGACTCAGATTGATGTCAGATTTCTAATCGACATCTATTCCTGAAGACGATGTCCAAATCAGACTTCATAATAAAATAAGATTCCAAATCTACGACCAATCAAATACCCCTCTAATCATTCTTATAGACGTCTATTTGTTGTTTTCAAATATGTCTCAAAATTTAAGTATTCACTTCTCTAAATGCCATCCTTTTTACAGACTAGCCACAATGAAATCAGTTTTAAATAAACAAAGTTTCTTGCAAATTAGTAAAAGCATTTTTGAGTTACTGCCTGAAAACTGGAAAAATGCCCCTTTTTTTGTATGAATAAAAACTCCATAACTCTGAAAGGAAAAATAAAACATTTATAACAAACGAAAGCGAGCTCACGTCAATAGATATAAACAATTCACCAAAGTTTTATGCAAATTGGTTAAAGTGTTGTTAAGTTATTATTGTCTGACATGTTGATGAAGGACGTACTGACAGACAGACGGACAGACAACGGTATACCATAAGAAGTCCCATAAAAGGGCGTATAAAAATTGTAGGTGAATCTACAACTTAATAAATTGTGAAAGATATATTTTGAATCTTGCAAATTACATGTATATGATATTTCTTTTCAAAAATTCACTGTATAATTTTTTAATTTTGTTTATTGTTCGACTGTATATTAACCTCTAGATATTTTTCAATTACATTCAGTTTGGCGTTGGGTTGATGTCTGATTGTTGTACATGTAAATGTAATATTGGCATGGGATTTATTTGTATAAATAACAACTATTCACCAAAGTTCACATTATGTACATTGATGTAAGTAAATTTAGGCAACCATACAGCCTTCATAAAATGAGGAAAAGCCTTGAAGGCTGTAAACCGTCCCAACATGAAAAGTATGCAACAATTCAATCGAGAAAAGTAATGGCCATTTTAACAACTAAACAACAGCTCAGTTTGGGACCCCCTCAAAAAAATAAATAAAATAAAATGTGGGATATCCCTTATTTTGCTGTTGTAGAAAAGAGAAAAAGAAAATTTAGCCTTTTTTAACTTATAAAGGGGGGTTGTTTTTTTTCTTCAAAGGATGGATCCACTAATTTTCAATAGAAAATTAAGATTGTTTTAAAAAGTCCATCTCATCTGGGAACAGTATATGTGTATTATGTATATGTGGAGTGGACAAATTCAAACCCGAAATCAAATGTTGATACTGTTCTACTTGAATACTGCACTGTAGTGATAGGAAATCAAATTAAAACACGTCAGTAAATAACAATGTCAGTGGTCGAATCAGAACTTTATATAGGGTGGGAGGAAGGCGCTGCCTGATCTACCAAGGGCCCACTCCAGTCATTGAGTCAATCATGCTTCAGCGATTCCCTATATAATCACCCAAATTTTTCCCACAAAAGGGGAGGCCTGGCCCCCAGGCAGTGGCTGATTAAGATTTTCATAAGAGCTGGCCCACTGACTAAGAGGGGGGCGCTCCAGTCATGCTTCGGTGATTCCCCGTATAAACAACCAAATTTTCCCAACAAAAGGGGGCATGGGACTCTACCAGGGCCCCCTGGATCCATCTATGAATGCAGAAACAAATTCAATTGTCGCAATGGTGATGAATTCGAATGGAAGATTTTCCCGTGTAAATGTCATGTGTAAAACGGGAAAGATCATAATGAATTTCAGGTCAATGTTGTCATTCACATTCCGATCAATTTACACAGTTATATAGAATATATATGTTAATTATATCTAAATTGGTTTTAAATTAGTAACATTATCAGAAAAAATATTTATTTCTCGCAGACAACGCTATATAATATACATTTACTCGACACTGAATCTAAAAACCCTTAAAACATAATGATATATGGAATCGTCCAAACAGATTTCTTAATATTGATAAAGGGGATATATGAAGAATCAGAACTGTGTACACTGAAATAAGATCAGAGATAAAGCCAGACGTAAAGTGAAAACAACAAAAAAAAACCTATATAAAAGCATTGTTTATTAAATTTGCTTGCATAAGAACCTTGAAATTTAAACTAATGACGATTAGGTGTATCCTGTCAACCCCTGAAAAAAATAATACTGTGTTCTTGACTACTTCCGCGCGCGATGGTCGGAATAATTAATATTTTATTATAGTGTATGTTAACAATTTGTCGCACCTGGGACTTTAATACGTGAATAATAGTCTCTTGGTCCCAGGTTGTCTATTCCTTTATTTTTTTTTAAATATCAAAGACTACTAGCTAATTTTATTTTTAAAGTAACTATTAATTTATTAAAATGCTTATTGTATTTCGATATTATGCGAATAAAAGTCTATAATGTGTTCATCAAAAGAAACATTTTGTTTCATGTGTATAACAGGAGTGATTTATATTGTACAGTGTGCACTTGTTTTACTTTATCTTCATACTATAACGATAAAATATCAATATAATTTGCGCTAGAATGGAGCTGTATATGTACTGATTAATATCTTTTATTTCAAGTCACCTGGATACATAAACGCTTAGCAGTCCAGGGCAGCTGACAGAGGGGTTCCTGCTTTTCTCTGACGCAGTCAGTATAATTTCGGTTTGTGACCCATTTATAAAGGACGCTTCACTATGGTAACGGCATGCATAATGTCACAAATCTTTACTCTGATTGGACGAAACAACGGAATGGAACAAAAAACAAGAAAAAAGATATATGCTACAATAAAAGGAAAACATTTAGAACATAAAATCAAACATAAAAATGAAATTATCCAGATGAATAAAAATAATTTCAGGTAAAGGAGGTGTCATTATTACAACTGTCAAATTGTTTAGATTTTGTAGGCTTAGCCTTTAATATATGAGTAGGTAAATATCACTGACAGGTTCATAAGATATACATTGACCCAGGTCAATTAGGCTATTACCCAGACGACATTTGTACGTTGGGACCAACGTATTTACATTCATTGGCCCAACGTTGTTTTTAAACGTTGGCCCAATGTATAAGTGCAAAGTGGCCCTATGTTGGCACAACGTGATGGCTAAACGTTGGCACAACGTTGTAAGGTTTTATACAATACATAGGTCCAACGTTGGCCCAATGATGGAATAAAACAGCCGATGTTGAACCTCCGTTTTTGAACTTATGTCAAAGATAACGAACATCAAGCCAATCCATGGACTAGAATGGAATAATCCACTTTTTATCTGCTTCAACGGATTGGGTACAATTCCCCAAATGAGTAACACTCCTTCATTCGAGTAATCATTTGATAGCGCTAAAATAAAAATTTTCTTAACTGGGTCTTTTTACTTAAAATGGCATATATTCATAAAAAAATCAGTAAATTTTCCAAAAGATGAATAGCCCTCACCTGATTTACTGAGAAGTTACAAGACTGAAAACATCGAAAAATTGACTATTTCCAAGGCTACTAACTTTTTAAACACCCAAAAAATATGATTCTTTGGAAGAAGTTGTTCCGTTTTCTATATTTTATTGCTATCAAATGATTACTCAAATGAGGGATTGTTACTCATTTGGGGAATAGTTCCCCATGGGGTGGGTTGTCCCCAACCTGTTTAACGTCCTTTAACATGAACAACTTGCGAGCACAAAATTTATTTCTAGCAATTTGATAATATGCTCTTTTTAGTAGTTTAATATAAAAGAAAACGTATTTGTAAAATCTCACTGAAAAGGCAAACTTACAACTCCGTCTACAAATTAACACGAAGAGATTATAATGTATCCTTAAACATCAAACAGGTCCCAGAACACTGTGACTTATTACATGTTTTGCTTAATGATAAATGTTAAACTTTAATCAAATCCTTGTAAATTTTTCTATACCTAACCACGCTTTGTTTATCACGTGTATAAATGACATTAAAATGATTTATATCAAGAGTTGAGTGAACTACATGTATAAACTGTGTCAAGGTTAGATATATTACAAAATGACAAGGTTTCCAACTTATTACGATTTACTTTTAATGCTTTATATGTGCATCTCGTCAGTGTTGCAACCGATAAAAAACGAATGATGATAAATTCGGTGTTAAACTTTTTGATACTGAATTCGTACTTATGCATCGTAACCGTTAGTTTCTTACTCAATAATCCAGTTGTGGATACAGATTGTGGAGCGGTGGAAGGGATTGGAACGTCGGTCTACGAATTCAAAGGAATCCCATACGCCGAACCACCTCTGGGAAATTTGAGATGGAAGCCACCAGTTCCGAAATCAAAGGACGCAAAGAACTGTTGGACAGGAATATTAAAAGCTAATACGTTCGGCAATTCCTGCTTCCAAAGGGGAATAGTTAATAAATCTATAATCTTTGGATCTGAGGATTGTCTGTTCTTGAATGTGTGGACTCCTACCACTGATAGAAATGCTAAACTTCATGTCATGGTTTGGATCCACGGCGGATTTTTAAACTATCTGAACGGAAACTGGCCAGCCTACAGTCCCTCAGAAGGGCTCGTTAAGGCTACAAACATTGTTTATGTTAGTATGAATTATAGACTAAATGCTTTTGGTTTCATGGCATTGGATTTACTATCACAAAGGTCTCTTAATCGAACATCCGGGAACTACGGATTCATGGACCAAATACTGGCTCTCCAATGGGTACAAAGGAACATACATAATTTTGGTGGGAATAAAGATTCTGTGAGTAAAATTGTAGAAGAAAGGTTCACATCGTATATTATTGCTATATATTTTTTTAAATAAAATGTCTAAGTATCCGGCCTCACCTGATCAAAATAGGTTTCTATAACAAACTTGCATAGACTTACACTATTTAAGGCAAAGAAGAATATGTGCATTTGGTATCTGATATTTAAACACTATAAGTTTTTATAGATAGATTGGATAAGAATGGATGTATAGGAATTAACTTTTTTCTCAAATAATTTTCAATGAATACGTGTTTCTAAAATAATTTTCAATTGAGACGTCTTTCTATAACAGTTTTCATGGGTTTTTAGATAAATTTCATCAGATATATGTTTCTTAGACAATTTTCATCGGATACATTTGAAACCGGAAGTTTTAAAATTCAAAGATAAGATATTTTATAATATAAAAATTGATAAGGCCTAAATATAACAGCTCAAACAATAAGAGGACAACATTGCATGAGTACGTTGCAACCTTAGGTTAGGTACAATTGCATTTTTTTTATGAAAAAGATATTCAATTACAAAAATGTATCATTAAGACCATGGCAGTATCGATGCATTGACTTTCGAGGAGATTGTTTCCTACGGGTTCAGATAGTAAAAACTTAGTATACTGTTTCAATGAATGATCATTTTTTTTGTTTCTTTATCGTAGGTTACAGTGTTTGGACAGAGCTCTGGAGGTACAAGCATCTATGCTTTATTGGCGTCACCGATGGCAAAAGGACTCTTTAGTAAGGCCTGGATGTTAAGTGGGTCTCCTGTTATGAACAAGACTCTTGCTGATGCGTCCAAAGATAACTTGGTATTTTTGAAAAACACCGGATGTTCTGACATTAACTGTTTGCTACAACTTCCGGCAGATGACGTATTAAATGCCATTCCATGGGATGTGTTTCCGTACTGGGAAATGGCGGATCAAAATGATCTACCAACGCGTAATCTTTTTGATGGAGCTCTGCCAGTTATTGACGGTGAGTTACACTGAAATTGTTGATAATTATAAGTCTATAGATTAGGGACACTTTATATAAATAGAATAGTGAAGGATCTGCTTGAGGGATATGCCTCTCGTGTGCTCAAATCTTAATTTTAAAGCGAGGTTTATTTTGGTAAAAATTAATTATGCTAAAAGCTATATAAACATTTTTTGTTTTTAAAAGAATGAGAGATACCTAGATAAGATACCATATGTGATTGAAAAACACAATATCATGGACAAAAAGAAAATCGGCGATAAGAGAAAAAAGTCCACATAACAGTACACAGAAAATAAACAATGGATCAATATGAACCCGACAAAAAAAAGTGTTGAATTTGTGTACTCTGGAAGGGTAATTAATCAGTTCATTCTCCACTTGTGACAACAAATATATAAATATTTTTGTAGAAACCGAATTAAGTGTTTCGCTGAAATTGTGTTGCTAAAGAGTGAAATGTATGAGAATGAATATGTATTTTTCGTATAAGTAACTGAAACTATATGGTTAAACAAAAATCTCGAAAAATCTAGTTAGTGTGGTTTCTACATAATTTGACAAGAGAGTAACTTTTCGATTGTTTTCGACTCACCTGTACACCTGTTTCCTATTGAATGTTCCTATTGATATAAACTCGCTGGGTATCACATTGTGTGTTGCTTGTCACAGTATAATATGAACGGTAATTTTCTAAGCAGTTTCCAGAAATTATGTCAACAAAAGTGTTATCGTTGTTATTGGCTATGACTTAGCTTTCAGTAATTGTGAGTACTATTATATCTGTACTTTGGGTCTGTTGTGTTGTTGCTAGTAGCTTTTTGTGCTTTGTGTCGATCTGATGAGTTACTAGTAAACATTTTATATACGCCCGCTTACGGGACGTATTATGGTATACCGTTGTCCGTCCGTCATCAACATGTTGGACAATAACTCAAAAACGCTTAAACCGATTTGCATGAAACTTTGGTAAATTATTTATATCTATTGACTTGAGGTCCCTTTCGATTTTTATAAATTTTAGATTTCACGTTTCCGAGGTATGATTGTTTTCCAGTTTTCGGACAATAACTCAAAAACACTTTAACCAATTTGCAAGAAACTTTGGTGAATTATTTATCTATTGATGTGAGCTCCCTTTCGATTTTTATGAATTTCAGATTTTACGTTTCCGAGTAATGGGGTTTTATTCATTAAAAGAGGGTGATTTTCCAGTTTTTAGACAATAATTCAAAAAAAGCAGTTTTCAAGAAACTTCGGTGAATTGTTTATATCTATTGACATAAGCTCCCTTTCGATTTTTATATTTCAGGGAACGACCATTTAACTTCAAAGGAGGGGGGGTATGTTTTTTTCCTAAACAAATAAATATTCTGATCCCAAATTTGATGAAAAAAAAATATTGTGGTCAAGCAGATGACAAAAAAATTATTCTGAATCCAGATTTCCCCATACCTTATAGTGTTAAATTTAAAAAAAAATAATTTGATTGATAGCGTCGAAAGACGTTTTCGAGTTATGGGATTTTATTCATAAAAAAGGGATGATTTTCCAGTTTTCGGACAATAACTCAGAAGTGCTTTAAGCAGTTTTCATGAAACTTTCAGTATAGTTTCTAACCTTCTACTTCATGTGGTCTCTGGTGGAGATTTATCTCATAGGCAATCATACCACATATCCTTGTTGTTATGAAAGCTACGTTATAATTGTTTTCTACTCAACCATTTTTCTTTTGAATATTGTCATAATTAAAATTTAATGATTATTTCTAAATCTTAAAAATATTTTTATTTGTGTCAGTCTAATTAACTAAAGTATTATTTCATCTTAATAATCATATTTAATCTTTTTTGACTTTTTCTTTGTTTTTTGAGAGGGGGATGTTGTTTTTGCTGTTATTTTTCGACTCCATAATGCATTGTGATGAACAGTTTGTTTAGCATGAGACATGTCAAAGAGTGACGTTTTGTTTTATGGTTACAGGTAGCGTTCTTCCAATGGCCCCAATAGAGGCTTGGAAACGAGGACAAATGGTGGATGTACCCGTTATCATTAGTAAGTCACTTCAGTGAACAATATTACAGATCAAATATAAACCTATCGATATTTCTCATACAATCAAACGTAAAACTATCGATGGTTCTCATACAATCAAACATAAACCTATCGATGTTTCTCATACAATCAAACATAAACCTATCGATGTTTCTCATACAATCAAACATAAACCTATCGGTGTTTCTCATACAATCAAACATAAACCTATCGATGTTTCTCATACAATCAAACATAAACCTATCGATGTTTCTCATACAATCAAACATAAACCTATCGATGTTTCTCATACAATCAAACATAAACCTATTGATATTTCTCATACAGTCAAACATAAACCTATATTTTGAATGTGGTAAAAAATTAAATATTATTAAAACTATTTTAATAAAAATTAGACAAATATATGATTCTTACTTGAAAAAACAATAAGGCAACAAAAAAACAATTGCTTTTCATCTTTTCACAAAGGAACCAAATGTAGTTTAAGTTTGTCTGAAATTATCTATGTGAAGATGGTATATTAAGAATGGTTTGAACTACTTAAGGGTTTGACATTGACAACCAAAACCAAAAAAAGATATTTATTATATATACCGATGCAAAGGGATTTACTTAAATCAATAAATAGCAGAATTTAACATTTTAACTTATCTTTTAGGTACAACTGCTCAAGAAATAGATGATAGCCCAACTCCTTCCGATATTGCTCAATGGACTTGGCAAAATTATACACAGAGGGTAACAGATAAACTAAGTAAATTTCCGGAAGTAAACATATCTCGTGTGTTTGAACTGTATCCATCTGGTTTGGAAAGTCCACAATATCAGTACACATCTATGGCATCAGACTTACGCGTAACGTGTCCAAATATTGAGTTAGCGCGTCATATGCAAACATCATTTGACTCTTCTATCTACCATTATGTTTCAACAGCTCGACCTCAAGTCCCATCTAAAATTTTCGGGTTTCCGCACGATGCTCGCTACGCAGCGCATGCGTGGGATGTGTTTGCATTTTTCGGTACAGTAGAGCATTATTATAAACCTACACAAACAGACAACGATTTCATACTAACAATACGACGTGAAATTGTCAACTTCGTGCAGACTGGAAGGCCATTTTCCGACAGTTGGCAACCATTCCCAAATTCTACTGCTCTAATGGACAGTAACTTAGGTGTAACCGATTTCTACCACAAAGAGCAGTGCTTGTATTGGTCAACAACAGGGTTATATTCATACGCTTGGATAAATTAAAGAATTGTAAATGACGGCTTTTGTCAAAGGAATTATTACATTGTTTTTTTTATTTATAGTTCATTTTGTAAATACAAAAACAATAAATGAAATACTTGCATTGTGTGTTTTTATTTTTAAATATAAAATTATTAAACACAGTTCGAGAGGATTAATACGGTTTACCTACAATTATAATTACATGTTAGGAAGTTCCAGCATGCAACACGACGGATGTGCAGCTAGTTGAGCAGAAACAATTTACCAATCAGAAATGAGTACAACGGTCGAGTTTTCTCAGTATGATTTTCTGTACGAAAATAAGGAGATGTGGTACCGTCGCCAATGAAACAATAAACCACCAAAGAAAATGAAATTTAAACAAGGAAAGGTCTCTGTGCGGACTCGGAACAATAAGCAAATTTCATAACGTAAGTCATATGTCAAAATAACTTGATAAACGTATGATTGTCAGCGTAAAAACGCAAACGAAGGAAAAAGTTCAATATTTTTCTTAAATCAGACAAAATATTCAAATCTTATATCACAATTATGGTATTACACATAAAAAAAAAGCGTGATATACTCTCTTCACGAGGCATCAGATTTAACGTTTCAATTGGACGCGTGATTGCGTATCCATACATCCCGCACAGCCAAGCGGACGCCCCACTTTTGCTATGGTGTAAATGTTGTACGGATGAAGTCCAAAGATGGCCATATTTACATGAATGTATACCCAAGTCAACTCTTGCGGTTAAATATCTTCATCATGTGGATGAGACAAATACAAGTAGAACATTACCCATATCACGGTAGGTGAAATTAAAAGATTTATTTATGGATTTACTGTTGCTTGCTTTACGTCCAGTGGCAAATATTCCACTCACCCTCCAATCTTTTATATTCCTATATCACAAATATAGATATCCAAAAAGAATAATTATGGGCAATATGATTTTTCCATCATTGCATGATAACTTCAGTTGTGTTTTTTGGTTAGCATGTTGTTGGGTTTCTATCTCATTAATGTTTACCCAACATCTCACTTTTTTCGAACATCAAAAACAGAAATGGGAATCATTTATCAGTATCAAAAAAAAGTTTTATTTCAATGAAATATCTGTAGTTTTGATTAATTATATGTCCAGGCAAATGAAACTTCCTTAAAACCCCTTAAAGTTGAAACTCAAAACAAAATGCAAGACTGAAACTTATTAAAACTAACATTTCACATGAATACATTAGCACTGTAAGTAATTTTTATTGATGTAAAAAGAGAGGCACATGAAAGGAGTACCTCAGTTACCGCACTGGATGATTAAAAAAAAGTCCGGATAAGATTTGATAAAAAATAGAAGGAAGAATTTTGCAGCATTTGACTTAACTTGTTTATTCCTGTGTCATGAATAAACCTATATATATCTAATAACAGGTTCAATGGGCCCCACATAATGAGACAATTTTTGCCTCCAGTGGAACAGATAGAAGACTCCATGTATGGGATCTTAGGTTTGTGTTATTTTACTTATTTGTTGTAGCTCTTTGACCCTTAAAGTTGAGGTCATATTGCATTCAACCTGTATGTACGTCCGTTCGTCCAAAATAAAGTTCAGTCACACTTTACTCCCGAACTACAAAACAGATTGACTTTATAGTTGGTCAGGTGCTTGATAGTGATGAGTTGTGACGCACGAACGCGTTTTAGATCTGTTGGACACAATGTCCCTGTTTACTAGCTGAAACTTTGAATTTTTCAATATGATGAATGAACTTACAATTTTAGTCATGAATGCTTATATCAAGTACTACTGAATAGAATGATTTAAAATCTAGTCAGCAGCCTAACAGTAATGAGTTGTAACTTGTGTGTGCCTTTTGGGTCTGTTGGACACCTACTTCCTGTTTTCAGATACTTTCAATTATGAATGGGGTATGCTTAGCACGACAACACATGCATTCGTTTTCTAAAATTACATTGTATTCTGAACCAGTTAACTTAAATAATCTTTTTGCCAATTCTATAGGAGGGACATGAATATCCATTGACAATGAAAAGCTAGTGGAAAGAGCAAAATTATCTATGCATTCTTCTTGTTAGCCTTTAAATACACTATATTTTGTTAAGCTATATTTTTTTTTATATCAATAGTTATCATTCCTTAAAAATTGGATAAAATGCCTATATATATCCCTTTCAACTTGTCATTATTTGCATGGGCAGTAGCCCATTTTGTCCAGTTTAGAACCAGGCTACAATTGGCAAAGGGAAACAACTTGTGACCGTAGAATAAAACTGAGAATGGAAATGGGGAACGTGTCAAAGAGACAACAACCCGACCATAGAGCAGACAACAGCCGAAGGCGTTTTTTATACCGATAATATATTTAAATATGTTTGTTGGTTTAACTTTTTTTTATAATAACTTTTTGAGAATGTGTAAATATACTAGTTCCGTTTTAATCCGTCTCTCATAATTCTTTTTAGAATGGCATTAATAATTTTTAAAAAGTTTACTTTTACAATGTAAAATGTGTATACTGTATTATTGATGGTGAGACGTTAATAAATTATTGTATATTGTATGTTCTTAAACAATTAAATCAGTAATTGACAAATCGGCTATTGTGTTAACAAAACTCAATTGTTGTTAGAAAACAAAAATGTTAATGTTATAACATGTATAATGGATGTTCCAAAATTTATCCTGTGGGAGGCATTCAAATTAGTAAATTAAGGTTGTTGAATTTTCCTTAGAATTTTCCTTAGTAACAATTTTAAGTAAAATGAAAATTTTATTTTATTGGTTGTTGGGGTCTTATAAAAGTGCTTCACATACCCCCTTCGCCTTTAAGTCGGGAACAGTCCCAATTTATTCATTACTAGTCTATTATACATAGTGGAGAAAAAAATGCCGATAAATTCTAAAATGATGACCATCACTATTTATCCATGGTCTTTTTAGTGAAGACAAAAATAATTGGATGACATTGACCATAGGCATATCAAGAAAGAGCTCTGTCATTTCCAACTCACCACTGTGAGTGTTCGAAAAAATAAACAAAAAGACTTCAAAATGGGGAAAAAAGAGGGGGTCTTCACCTATCCTATGAAATGGAAATGTCTTTTCTTTTCTTTGATGGGAATCATTATATTACATTTGTTAGTATTTTGTTTGAAAATACACCAAATTGTTTAAACTATTGACTATGCTAGTTTTTAAATTTGTTTATAAACATTGATTGGAACATATTTATCTATAGTTAGTTTAATTGAGGTCTGGAGCTGGCATGTCAGTAACTGCATGCTAGTAGTCCTTTGTTCATTTATGTATCATTGTCATTTTGCTTAGTTTCTTTTGTTACCTATTCTGATATCGGACTCGGACTTCTTTTAAACTGAGTTTTACTGTGCGTATTGCTATGTGTTTCTTTATTCTACATTGGCTAGAGGTATAGGGGGAGGGTTGAGATCTCACAAAACATGTTTAACGCCGCCTCATTTTTGCGCCTGTCCCAAGTCAGGAGCCTCTGGCCTTTGTTAGTCTAGAATGTTTTTTAATTTTAGTTCATTTATATGTTTTGGAGTTTAGTGTGACGTCCATTTTCACTGAACTAGCACACGATTTTATTTAGGGGCCAGCTGAGGACCACCTGTTGAGAATACCGCGGGAGTTAAGACGTCGCGTTTTACCAATTGTATCTAGGGTTGACGTCAATGCGGGACGTAGCCTTAGCAGCTCGAATATATATGAAGTAAACGTTAAACTGTATGGTTGTGTTCTTTCTGTATAACGATAGTTGAGTTAGCCCCGACATTTATGGTGCCGTAACCAAAGGATTACATCGAAGATGGAGAAGTTAAAGAATATAAGAACTGGAAATAGAAGTGCAGTGACGAGACTTTTCCGTAAATTCGAGGAGGCGAAGGAAAACACGGACTTCGACAGAGATGAACTACTTGCAACATACGATAATCTTACGCAAAAGAAGAAATTGTTGGAAAAACTGAACGAACAGATATTGGAAGCAACGGATTCAGACAACGTTGAAAGTGAAATAGTAGATACAGATGAGTATTCAAATAATTTAGACACTTTTGTAATTTCATTCAAATTGGTCAAAACCGTACACCAAGTTCCAATGTAACACAATCTTCATATCAAGTACTCAATGTAGAAAGCCCTCCTTTCCGCCCGGCAAATGTTGATAACTTTCAAAACGCAACACCATTCTATGCTTCATCCGCCGCTCAACCACAGACAAGCTACAATGGCTCTGATACAGGTCATATTGCTACACAAAATATAGCTAGTACTAGTAACCATCGTTTACCCAAGTTATCACTACCGAAGTTTAATGGCAACATTTTAGATTGGCAAACGTTTTGGGACTCGTACGAATCTGCTGTACATTTTAATCCTACTTTGACAAACATTGAGAAATTTAATTATCTGAAATCGCAACTTGAAAGCGAGGCATTAAATACGATAACTGGATTTGCGCTTACAAATGGTAATTACATGGAGGCTATAAATGTACTCAAGGAACGGTTCGGACAAACACACAGAATTACGGAAGCCTACTTACAGGCACTTTTAGATATTTCCCAACCACGATACACCTTGTCAAGCTTAAGATTATTTTATGACCGATGTGAAGCCTACGTAAGAGGTTAAGATTCGCTCGGACAACCTGAGACGTCATATGGAACTTTACTGGTACCGATTATCATGAGAAAGTTACCAAGTGAAATCAGACAACACTTAGCAAGAGAACACGGACCGTCCAGTTGGAATTTGAAAGATCTGAGAAGGAGCATATTGAATGAAATTCAAATCATGGAGGCAGGACAAAATACAGGTACATATCTCGAGTCTTTAGACCGTCAGTTCGCAACTGCATCTACATGTACATTTCATACAAGAACAGAATCACCGCGAGAAAACACATCACACAACGCGAAGAGCCAACCCCGGAATATTACAGAAAGACCATGTGTTTTTTGTAAAGAGATACATGCACCAGCACACTGTACCAATGTTAGTAATCATAAAGCTCGCATGTCTATCGTAAAACGTGATAATTTATCCTTTAATTGTTTAGGTAATCATCATGCTA